CAGGGGTCATCCACGCGCGCAGGTCGGGGCTCACCAGGCCTGGAGGAGCCGCCGGGTTGTCCTGTCCTGCCTCAAGTCTCCCCATCTGTAAAGGGCTCAGGACCAGAGTCATGGGGCCCGCCTGGGCCGCCCGCAGCAGCCCCTGGCACTGGCACGGTGCCCCCTCCCCAGACTCCGCATGAAGGCCGGGGAGCCCAGCGCTAGGTGGCGCGGCCCGGCTAGGTCGGGTGGCGCCCCCCAGGGGCGGCCGGGTCAGCGTGGAGCCCCCGGCTCTCCTCTCTGAGAGGCAGCAGCCCCCGGCCCTGCGTTCCGGACCGGCCCTCGCACCCCGGGGTGCCCGTCTCTCACGGCCCCTGATACTTTACCCCTTGACTTGGTTTTGTTCCTGGTCTGGCTCCTCGAGAGAAAGGGGGCCTCCCCTAGCAGTCCGTGCCCGCCGCGCCAGCACACGGCAGGCTCGGTGGTGTTTGTCGAGTGAATGTGAGAACGCATGAAGGTGACACAAACTTTCCTTTCTTTGGCGGCCGTCCGGTATGGGGATCCGAACCCGTGACCTTGGTGTCATAAGGCTGCGTGCCTCTGAGCAACTGAGCGGACTGGCCAGCCTAAGGGAGGAACTCACTGTATGTAAACACCTAGCTGGTCTGTGGGCTTTACGTGAGAAGTGCCTGGAAGAATTCTGCAGCCGTCATCGGTTTGCCGCCAATTACCTCGCTCCTGGCTGCTGGGGCCAAGTCGTCATTCCCACTTGAACCTCACCACGTCGTTTCCTGCATTGACCTGCTGGGCTTCTCAACCTGTTTCTCATATTTTCCATCTCTTTGTTCTGGTCTATACTTCTATTACTCTTCAGTTTAACCTTTCCACTTCATATAGAATTTTTCTTTTCAGCAATCCTGTTTTTAATTTCCAGGAGATCTTAGTTTTTCTCTGGTTCCTGAGTTTCTTCCTTGGGAATGTGGAGATAACAGTACTTTCCTTGTGGATTGCAAGAATGGCAGAGTAGCAGAGGGTCTGGCCCCTGGTAGGTGCTAAGAAAATCGCCGTTTCTATTGTTGGCATGGGCTAACTTCAGATGGGATGAGGGAATGCTCACGATCAAGTCCTGACCTTGGGCTGCCCCGGGCAGGTCACCCTCATGTCCGGACATCTGGTAACTGCAACAGCCCTCCAAGGTAGGTGGGGTGCAGTGGATTAAATTAGGTCCCCCCAAAACTCATTGAAG